TAAAAATAAGAAACGTAAATGATGTGAACAATTGTAGGGGCATTAGTCTACTGAAGGTCCTTGGTAAATTGTTGTCTTGAACTCAAGTCCACAGCAATAAGCAGATGAAACTGACCTCAACCTTGAGTCACAGGCAGGTTTTAGACAATGTTATTTTACAATAGATCATAAACATATAGTACATGTATTTTCTTTCCAGCATTTAGATTTTAAAAAATACATAGATACATATATACCTAAGCTGAGGTAATTTTCTGGGCACTATTTAATGACTTTAAAAAACCCGGGTGATCCAACAAAAAACAAAAACAAAATCGATACAGCTTTTTGGAAAAAATTTTCCTCCACTCAAGTTTTGCGTTTCAAATTGGAACACAACATTTGGAAGTCAAAAGCAATTCGTTGGACATTCATTTTAGACAATACCCATTTTCAGCTATGTCCCCATTTTATAGCATGACGCACTAGTTCGCATTAGGTCTACCATTAACAGTCCCAACGTCGCGCTATATTGCAAGCTACAGTAGTTTAACAGGCCAACATTAATTTGCAGATAGTTTTTCTCAAGTTGCCTTTGCCTGCTGTGATCATGGTTAAGATTAGTAAGGAGCAGAGAGCTTTTTGCATTGAACATTTCCTCACCGCCAACTCATTTCGTAAGTTTCGCACAAGGTACGGTAGCAATGCTTTGATGTCAAGGGTGGAAATGGTCCATCCGTTAGGACGTGTATAGAATCAGAACAAAACATTCCCAGACAAAGCGACCACTTTAGATCAAACACACACCGTTGGCACCCCTTTTAAACGTCACCAGGGTGCAGAATTCGAAAGATGAGCCCCGTGAGACGTCTGTCTGTAGACGATGTCTGCAGTAACGATCCCAGTTTAAGCATTTATTGTAACATCTGTGCAATCCAAATAAAGACTTCAGGAAAAAATGGCACAAGTCCCAAAGTCAAAATGTCCATCCTAAAAAGCTTTATTTAAGATATCAAAAGAACTCAGTGGACAAGCCAAAACAAAAATCTTGCCAAACAATGTTCCAATGGAAACACTGCCAGACAAATTCTGTACTTACTTCCATAACAAGGTTGTCCAAATTCGGCAAGGATTAGACTCAGAGAACAAGACAAGTAACATCCCAATGTCTGAACCATTTAATGGTGAACCCCTTGAAACGTTCAAGTCAGTTAGTCGTGAATTTGTGAAAGACACTGTCATGGTATGCCCACCAAAATCCTGTCATTTAGACCCAATGCCTACTGACTTATTGCACAGTCATATTGACGATGTTATTAATGTTATAACTTCAATTGTAAACACATCATTAAGCGAGGGTACAGTTCCACCATGCTTCAAAACAGCATCTATCTCACCTCTGATTAAAAAGCCTGGCCTTGACCCTAATGACCTAAAGAACTACCGGCCACTATCACACTTACTTTTTCTTTCCAAAGTTTTGGAAAAAGTTGTTTTGCACAACTTAAAGACCAACTCACAAAGAATAACTTAGTTGAGCCATTTCAATCGGCATACAGAGAAAACCACAGTACTGAGACTGCTTTGCTCAGAATTGTCTCTGATCTACTCAATGCTGTAGATGAGAGTTTGATATCCATTTTCTCACTTTTAGACCTGTCTGCAGCTTCTGATACTTTAGACCACAACATCATGTTGAGTCGTTTGTCGGACGTGTTCGGAATATCTGACACCGTACTTGAATGGTTTCGATCTTACCTCAGTGATAGATCATACTTTGTTGTTGTTGAGGGCATTCAATCCTGTCATCAATTGCTAGAATTTGGTGTGCCCCAGGGGTCAGTACTAGGACCTGTGCTGTACACTATGTACACCCTTGGTCGTACCATCAGACACCATTCCATGTCCTACCATATGTACGCAGATGACACACAACTTTATAAGTCTGCAAAACCCAACAAAATTCAATCTCTGTTAAAAGACACCTCAGAATCTTTTGAATCTGTAAAAGCATGGATGACTGAAAATAAAGTGAAATTAAATGATGACAAAACAGAAATCATGCCATGCTCAACCAGCTCAAAAATAAATGCTCTTGTTGTAGAATGTCTCACCATTGGCAAAGGTACTGTCGCTTTTTCAAACAAATATTTTTTTTTAGGAGTATACTTAGACAAAGACTTGTCCATGGAGACCCAACTTAACCATCTATGTAAAATTTCATACAGAGAGATGAGAAGAATTGCTCACATAAGGAAATTTCTTAGCACTGATGCCACCAAAAAACTAGTGTTTGCCTTCATTTTGTCACGCATTGATTATTGCAATTCACTGTTCGCTGACCTACCCGAAGAAAAAATTGCAAAACTCCAACGCATTCAAAACAATGCTGCCAGGCTAGTATTATAGCAATCAAAACGCCATATTGTGACTCCCCTACTTAAAGAGCTCCATTGGCTTCCACTGAAAGCGAAAATTGAATACAAGTTAGCCCTACTATGCTTTAAAGGTCAAACTAAGCTGTCCCCCCACACCCATTCAAGAACTCATTGTACCATACACACCATCACGTGAACTAAGATCCAGTGGCTCTAGACTAATTTCAACACCTCGTGTGTCACTGAAGAAAAATGGTGAGAGAGCTTTTTCTTTTTCTGGGCCAACAGTTTGGAACACTCTCCGTCATGATTTGAGGAGCGAAATAAAACTTGATACTTTCAAAAGGGGACTCAAAACACATCTATTTAAGAAATATTTTAATTAATGGACAGTACCTTTGCCTTTTTGTATGAGCATTTTTTATTGTCTGAAAGAATGTTGCTGTCAAAAAGTGCGCATATTATGAATTTGTATGGTGTTAGTATGAATGCGTTTTTAATCTCCTATGTACGCCTTGGGCCCATGCTGTGGGGGAAGGCGGGATACAAATAATGCTCTCATTATTATCATCATTATTATTATTATTATTATTATTATTATTATTATTATTATTATTATTATTATTATTATTATTTTACATTTGTCTGTTTTGGTCAATTATCTGGCTAGTTCTAATTTGTTCACCACACCATATTTTGTTTGAAACAGCTGTAGCCACATACTGATAGCACGTTCCAAACAGTCGAACGAAGAAAGAGTGGCAGTAGTCCATATTATTATTATGGACAATTATTGTAAGAAAAGCCATCGTCTCCAACATTTTTGAAGTGACTAGTGTAGACAGGCCATCTTCTTCAGCATTTTTGATGTGACCAATGCCGTCGAATCGGTGGTAAGCTGGCCAACTGCTTTAAAAGGGGGGGGGGGGGGGCTACACCTGAAGGCTATCTCGCTTATTGCTGGACCGAATTTTACCACATTTCACACATATAACAAGCATAGTAGGGAGTCTTAAAACCCGCAATCAAATTTGAGAAAAAAGTTTCGTTTCCATGGATACGGCGGCCATATTGGATTTTGTTGACATGTCTTACGTAAAAAATACCGCACTTATCGCTCATGGAAATTAATTGGGTTTTTTTTTTTTCATGCGTGTTAACAAATATTAAATCTATAAATTTTTCAGCTGTTTTTTTCGTAAACGAATTAGAAAATTTTAAATAATTTTTTTCCTGAGGTAGCATTTAAGTTTGCAAAAAATCCGTGAAAATCCACACTCCAGACTCCAGACACCACCAACATAAATCTATTCCATATATCAAAAATTCAACAGACAAATATTTAGTATTACATCTTTTCTTCATTCTGTGAAAATTTCATGAAGATTGGATCAAAAAAAGGTGAAGTTATTCAAAAAAGTATAGAGAAAAGTCGCGTTTTGAGAAAATGGCCGATTAAGAAAAATATATTATTGACTTTATGAGCAAATGGCGGTGACAAACATGCCTGGTATGAAAAAAAAATCAGTGTTTTTTTTTTTTGGGGGGGGGGGGGATTGGGGGGGGGGGGGTTCTTATGCGATGAAATAGTTGTAGGAGAGGCTTAGGAAGCTTAAAAATGCCTACAACTCAAATTCCATAATTTTGAGCCGAATCTTGACTTTGGGGGGGGAGGCCCCCCCCCCCCACCCCCACCCCCACCCCCACCCCCACCCCCCTTTTAAGCAAGCTCTGGTAGCAATTTCTTCAGGAAAGACAAAAAAAAAAGAAAAAGAAAAAGAAAAAGAAAAAAAAGACAGCAACAAAAAACAAACAAAAAAACAACAACAACAAAAAACATCAACAACAAAAGAAAAGCAAATGTTTTAAAATGGTTTCATTAAAAATAAAGTCAATAATTGTATCCTCATTATGTATTTTCTCTTGTTTAACATAATTAAAATTATTCTTTAAAAAAACAACATTTCTGGAGCACAAGCAACCTCTACCATAGATTAAAAGACATCAAAGAAAAAAAACAACACATTCGATTGTTAACACGTTGCCCCAAAGGACGCCGGTCGGAAAAACGTTGCTGCCATTTTCTCCTTTTTGACATGCGCGCTTATTAAAGTTTTCCTTTCTGAATGGTTTGTGTGGCATTTGAGGTTTAAAAAAATCAGTTTGTTTACAACAATTGCAGTAATTCTTTTCTTTTTTCTTTCTTTTTTTTTGGGGGGGGGGGGGGGGGGGGGTGTCGAGTAGACCTAGCATGAGTGCTGCTTCTTTCTTACGCCATAATGAGAATTCGGGTGATGAATGAGCTAGATCTAATATTTTCAGTCCTGATTCTCTTTCCTTTTTCGGTGGACATGCTGTCATCACTTTCAATTTTCTCGGTATGTTGACAATTTCATAATGGTTGGGGTATTTTTGCCGAGATACAGGTGTAGTACTGATGTAGCCCATCCGTATCCTGGTCCATGGGGACAAGCGTTGTGTGCTCTGCGCGCTGTGTGGGTGGAAAATGTTAAATCTGACCAGCTAACCGATGAAACTTTTTCTTGTTGGAATGTTTTGTCTCAATACACGTATTTTTTGTAGACTTCCCAGCAAAAGTGCGCGACAATCTTTGTGTATAGAATAGCCAAGAGTACAAGAAACATGGACGCCACCTGGACATTCATCCCCAAGCTTATTTTAGCAGCGGCCTTGGTGATGTCTTCCAGAGCATGGCATCTCAATGTGACGTCATCAGAAATCGACGTCGGTAGGACAGCGCAAGTTTCCCTGAATTGTTTCAACCCCTATCAACAGCAGGACATCACTGACCTTCTCATGATGAGAATTGAGAAAAAACAGCTGACCGGATGGTCCAGTGTCGCGGAACTACGTCACGGCGATGTGGACGTCAGACTCACAGCCAATGACGTCACCGCCACGGGCAACATTGTCTCTGGGGCTAATAGCTTCATGCGGCTTACCTGGCCACTGGCAACCAACGACACGATCGGTCTTTACCGTTGTGACGTCACTTTTCTGAATTCCCACGGCAGCGTCGGGTGGCAGAAAGGCCTACCGACTTCCATCTCTCGTAAGAGTGACGTCACTTTTCAGATCCTGAGCGAAATGGTGGAGGAGACCAAAAGACAGTGCACACAGCAAAAACAAGACATCCAGACATACGTAGCAGCGGCCGTAGAGGAGAACAAGAGACACTGTCTGAAGGAGAAACAAGACGTTCTCCAAAACATGACGGCCATGCTCAAGGCGCTTGAAGTGAGCTTCCTTAGCACTAAATTGGCTAATCTTATTATTTATTCCATAATCCTGACCAGTACACATTTCTGTAAAGCGCTTAGAACTGTGTGCACCCCGTAATGCATACCAGAATAAAGGCTATAAAATGATGGTGGTTTAGTTATTATTATTGCCATTATCATTATCATTATTATTTGTTGTTATTATTATTAATTTTGTTATTTTTATTATTATTGTTATATATTATTATTATTACATGTATTATAATAATAATAATAATTATCATTATTATTATTATTATTATTATTATTATTATTATTATTATTATTATTATTAGTAGTAGTAGCAGTAGTAGTAGTAGTAGTAGTAGTAGTAGTAGTAGTAGTAGTAATAGTAGTAGTAGTAGTAGTAGTAGTAGTAGTAGTAGTAGTATTAGTAGTAGTAGTAGTAGTAGTAGTAGTTATTATTATTATTAGTATTATTATCATCATCATTATTATTATTATTATTATTATTATTATTATGACGTCACTTCACTGTACAGACACTGAGCCACACGGTGGAGGTCAACAAGCGAGAGTGCCCTCACCAAATGCTCTCCCAAAAACGTCAGATTCTGGAGACCGTGACGGCAGCCTTGGAGAGGAACCAGAGAGAGGTTCTACTGCACAGTCAGCGCCTCCTGGCAAACACCTCGGCCAGTTTGGAGCAGAGGTTGAGCGATGTCGAGGACAAGCTATGGGTGAGAATCTCTCACTGTTGGATATCTTCCTATACTTTCCTATACTCTCATTGTTGGATATCTTCCTATACTCTCACTGTTGGATATCTTCCTATACTCTCACTGTTGGATATCGTCCTATATTCTCACTGTTGATATCTTCCTATGCTCTCACTGTTGGATATCTTCAGGTTCTTTCACTGTTGGATATTTTCCTATACTCTCACTGTTGGATATCTTCCTATACTCTCACAGTTGGATTTCTTCATATACTGAGGAGAAAAGGTGCACTCGGGAGTTGTGGGATAGTATTATGTGGAACTGAAACTGTATTGTCTATTGATACACTGGTTGGTGGAGTATGTGATGAACTGGTTGATGGGGTATGAGATAAACTGATTGATAAAGTATGTGATACATTAGTTAATGGAGTATGTGCTACATTGGTTAATGGAGTATGTGATAAACTGGTTGATAGGGTATGAGATAAACTCATTGATAGAGTATGTGATACATTGGTTAATGGAGCATGTGATACACTGGTTGGATAACTGGGTGATAAACCGGCTAACTGTCTGGGTAGTAAACTGGTTGACTGATCAATGGATAAACTGAGAAACTGGCTGCATGACTGACACAAAATACTTCACGGAGTCCCAAAACTCTCTCGCTCGCTCTCTCCGGAGTAAGCTGGCTTGATATATCCGCCAAACTTTATATCTCGCCATTTCCCACAGCCGTTCATCAAATTCCTCTCTGTGGGTTTCTCTCCAGCCCCAGTCGTGCGCTAGTGTCAAGGGTTTCGGTCCTCGACCGGTGGTCCTTCTCTCCAGCGGCCAGCGTGTCGTCTGTGACACAGTGACGGACCAAGGTGGATGGATCGTGATACAAGTGAGTGCAGGCTGGTACAGTACAGCTGAGTACTGTCATAGTAACATACAGGTGAGTACTGTCATAGTACCATACAGGTGAATACTGTCTTAGTACCATACAGGTGAGTACTGTCTTAGTACCATACAGGTGAGTGCAGGCTGGTACAGTGCAGCTGAGTTCTGTCTTAGTGTCATACAGGTGAGTACTGTCTTAGTAACATACAGGTGAGTGCAGGTTGGTACAGTACAGGTGAGTTCTGTCTTAGTACCATAAAGGTGAGTACTGTCTTAGTAACATACAGTTGAGTACTGTCTTAGTACCTTACAGGTGAGTGCAGGCTGGTACAGTACAGGTTAGTGCAGGTTAGTACAATACATGTGGGTACAGGCTAGTACACAATAGTTGAGTACTGTCTTGGTACCATACAGGTGACTACGGGCTAGTACAGTATAGTTGAGTACTGGCCGTTACAGTATAGGTGAGTACTGACTAGTACAGTACATGTGAGTTCTGTCTTAGTACCATACAGGTGACTACGGGCTAGTACAGTATAGTTGAGTACTGGCTGTTACAGTATAGGTGAGTACTGACTAGTACAGTACATGTGAGTACTGTCTTAATACCATACTGGTGAGTACATGCTAGTACAGTATAGTTGAGTACTGGCTGTTACAGTATAGGTGAGTACTGACTAGTACAGTACATGTGAGTACTGTCTTAGTGCCATACTGGTGAGTACAGGCTAGTACAGTATAGTTGAGTAATGCTAGAACAGTACAGGTAAATGCAGGCTAGTACAAAGCAAGTGATTCAAGATTATTTTACTGTAATAAAGGCTGGTTGTTGCTCAACGATTTTCCAAGCATTAAAACCAATTGTGCGTACAGTACACCATACGTGCCTCCACAAAGACATAAAATGTGAGGGGTCGTGGTGAAATCAGGTGCTCGTCAAAATCGAAAAAATCGACGGCATTTTTCCACAAGTTAGGCAGTCTTTATTGATTTTTCTTTCTTTTCTTTTTTGGGCTTAACACCTTTTATCTCCTTTTAAACACTATTCTTTTGTGGATTTTATTGAATAATGTTTATCAAGGGCATAAACAGGTACATTTGCTGTTTCCAAGAACTCTCAAGCTCTGGGAGTGACCAAACTTTGGTGGCCATTTTCTCGCTAATTTTTCGTCTGAAACCAGGCGACCCCAACCTTCTATAATCGCATTATCTCAACTTCTAGTCAAGATAGACTGTACTGTTTTCATCAAAAGCAAGACAAATAAACATGCTTTTCGATGATACCAATAATTCCACATGTCCAAAATTGACGACCGCCTTATTCCACCACGTCGCGACACATATGTGGTTGCAATGTTTCAACGTGTCTTCTTCTCAATAAACAAGAAACAGTAAATGTAGTAGGACAAACTCCCAGGATACAATAGCATTGAAACTGTCTTTCGACTCACAGAACTGTCATGAAACATTACTTGTAACTTTAGACTAAGAAGTTTTACTTTAGAAGTAGCTAAAAGCTCAGAAGATAACTCAAACAATGTGGTTTAGCACACTAAATGGCACTAACCCTTAGTCAGGGAATGGCATAATGTCCTTTTGTATGTTCTGCAGAGACGTGTTTCGGCCGACGTGGACTTTTTCCGTGGCTGGGAGGACTACAAGAACGGATTTGGAGACCTCCACGGAAACTTCTGGCTTGGACTAGAGAAAATCCACCAGCTGACAAGTCAGGCAAGTTGTTTACGATTTAAAATTTACTGCAGTGGACTGTTCTAATCATGTGATGGTGTACTTACTTACTTGAATACTTGAATGTAGAACTGGGGTCTTAGGAAGACGGGCTGCTCTATACTTCCTCGCCCCTCTTCATAAGGGTCCATTTCAGTGTAGGCAACCTGATTGTCTCCATCATCAGCTGGTTGTTGTAGCGTCTGATGGGGTCACGCAGCCTGCTCCTCCTGCCTTCACCAGACCTTACTCCTTTCTCAATCACAATCTCCTTCGTGAAGGAGTCCTCTTCACGGCTACTGGCTAGATGATCTAGGACAAGGGCCATTACAGTTGGAGGATCAAGGGTAAGCGCCGTCTCTCTATGTTTGCGGAGCCTGCTATCTGCTCTTTCATTTCCCTTGACTCCTGCATGTCCTGGGCAGAAGATCCACTGCAAGTGTCTGATTTTGCTCTCTTGGATTGCCTTACACCAATCTGCATAGAGGCTGCCGGTCAGGATCATATCCAGAGTACTCATTGAGTCTGTAACAAGGGAAGCCTGCTGGTTTCAATTAGTGTGAAGCCATTTCAGAGCTTCAGTGATGGCCTTGATCTCCATGCACACGCTTGATGTAATGAGGCCCGTTGCCCCAGATGTCCCCTGGATTGTTACTCCTTGACTAGAAGCCGTGTAAGCCCAGCCTGAGTTGACCCCACGCTGAACAGAGCCATCACTGATGGTGTAATACAACCTACAGTCCAAACCACGTGACAGGGTAATACAACATACAGTCCAAATCACGTGACAGGGTAATACAACCTACAGTCCAAACCACGTGACAGGCTAATACAACCTATTGTCCAAACCATGTGACAGCACGCCCATCGCTTTTGTTGTTGTCGATGTACGTGTTGCTGTTGTTGTTGTTGTTGATGTTGTTAATGTACGTGTTGTTGTTGTTGTCGTTATTGTTGTTGTAGTTGATGTATGTGTTGTTGTTGTTGTTGTTGTTGTTGTTGTTGTTGATGTTGATGTAGTTGTTGTTGTTGCTGTTGTTGTTTTTGTTGTTGTTGTTGATTTTGCTGTTGTAGTTGTGGTTGTACACAAACAGATTTAACTTGTCAGTCTTTAGGAAGTTAGAGAGGGTTAGGGGGGGGGGTGGAGCATACACTGTTGCAGTCCTTTAGGCCACCACCTTAGCTCCTTCACTGTGGACTGCCGCTGTACAGGGTCCGTGCCCGACATACACGTCCTGTCTTTGACAGATTCTGTACCTGACACACATGTCCTGTCTTTGACAGATTCTGTACCTGACACACATGTCCTGTCTTTGACATATTCTGTACCTGACACACATGTCCTGTCTTTGACAGATTCTGTACCTGACACACATGTCCTGTCTTTGACAGATTCTGTACCTGACACACATGTCCGGTCTTTGACAGATTCTGTACCTGACACACATGTCCGGTCTTTGACAGATTCTGTACCTGACACACATGTCCGGTCTTTGACAGATTCTGTACCTGACACACATGTCCTGTCTTTGACAGATTCTGTACCTGACACACATGTCCTGTCTTTGACAGATTCTGTACCTGACACACATGTCCTGTCTTTGACAGATTCTGTACCTGACACACATGTCCTGTCTTTGACAAATTCTGTACCTGACACACATGTCCTGTCTTTGACAGATTCTGTACCTGACACACATGTCCAGTCTTTGACAGATTCTGTACCTGACACACATGTCCTGTCTTTGACAGATTCTGTACCTGACACACATGTCCTGTCTTTGACAGATTCTGTACCTGACACACATGTCCTGTCTTTGACAGATTCTGTACCTGACACATATGTCCTGTCTTTGACAGATTCTGTACCTGACACACATGTCCTGTCTTTGACAGATTCTGTACCTGACACACATGTCCGGTCTTTGACAGATTCTGTACCTGACACACATGTCCTGTCTTTGACAGATTCTGTACCTGACACACATGTCCTGTCTTTGACAGATTCTGTACCTGACACACATGTCCTGTCTTTGACAGATTCTGTACCTGACACACATGTCCTGTCTTTGACGCGCGGTTTCTCACTGATGTCTTTTTAATTCTATGAGTAAATACACAGCCCCTCTAGACACACTTTAAGACAGTTCTAAAGCAGAGGACATGGTCCTCATCTCAGGACACCAAGTTGAGAGGAAATCTTTGGGAGGACCAGCATTGAAACTTGGCACAGATTTGAACCTTTATCATCTGTGTCACTGCCAGGTTCATTATCACCAGAGACATAGCCATTGGATTTTGCATGCGTTGAAGCCACATGAATCTACAGCTGGTTTTAATTTTCTACGGGTTGTTTTCATTGTCTTTACGTTTTCATCACCAGGTGAGACACGAACTGAGGTTCGATTTGAGATTCCAGGGAAAAAACTACTACGCCAGCTACGACAAGTTTTCGCTGTCTGGAGAAACAGACAACTATAGGATTCAGATTTCTGGATTTTCCGGTAATGTTGATGATAACATGGTTGGTCACAACGGTCAGCCGTTCTCTACCAATGACCGTGACAACGACTCATGGGAAAAGAACTGTGCCAGTGTGTACCACGGAGCTTGGTGGTACAACAACTGCCATTCCGTGAACCTCAACGGACTGTGGGGCAGCACAGGTGGCGCTAAAGGATTGAGGTGGAAGAGTGTAACAACGGGCTCGGTTTCCTTCAGCGAAATGAAGATTCGACCTTTTGCTAAGTGACAGCTTCACGAGACCGAATTGTCCTGCTGAATATGTACCTAGATGTTTGCGTGTCTGTTTGTTCGTTTTTGTTAAACACAGTATGAAATACACAGAAGGAATTGGGAAAACGTCAAATATCTTGGACGTGTTAAATTTCGTATGTATGTACCATCGTGTCAGGTCATTTATTTATATTAATGTTAAAGATAAAACAACCACTGGTAAAGATACAGAATCATATCAATTGGTATTGTACAGTATTAAAAATATCGCAAACCAAACATTTCTTTTTTTGAACTTTCTTACATTTAAATACACGTTCCAACACTGACACACATGCACATTTACACGAGCACATACACGCAAACACAAGTCTTCACTTTCAACTCTCTCATGTTCTTTCCGTCACACAAAACTCTTCAGGGGGGCTCTCGTGGCCCAGAGGTTAAGGTGTTTGACTCTCTTTCAATAGGTCCCAGGTTCGAATCCGGATAGCGACGGACACGTTTCTTCTCGAAAATGTTCTCCTTTCACACCCTTTCCTGCTCTCTAGTAACCCTCCGTCGTCTGCTTTCGCCTCCACTTTCTGCCCCCACCCCCTCACCTCCTTTGCCCCCTCCTTTGGGCTCCTGACTCTTTCTGCAGCCTTTCTACTGCTACTCCCTGACTGCTTCTTACTGCTGTCTTTCTGCCACACCCCTGATCTTATGGTAGGAAAGATCTACATCTATCCTTCTCGGACAAGGAAAAATCTCGGAGGTCCCGTGTGCAAGTTGCGCACGTTAAAGATCCCTTGGAGGTCCAAAATCGATAAGAGCAGGCTTTGGCCGCCACCCGGGGAAAATTCAAAATTTCCAACCAACTGAAAATGTTTAATGTGTTACGCACGCTCACATGACCTTATACAGCTGCGAGCGCCGTAAAACACTTACTAAAAAAAGTGTTCACTTACAACTCTCTCAGGTTCTTTCCCTGACACAAAAGTCATCCCTTATCTTACAGCTCTCTCAAAGGTGACATCGGTAGCGGTTAGGCTACCGGACTCGTAATCATGAGATTGCGGGTTCGGGGGTTACCATTTCACCGTTTCACCTCACACAAAGTCTTCCTTTACAACTCTCTCATGTTCTTTCCCTCAAAGAAAAGTCTTCATTAATAACTCCCTCATGTTCTTTCCCTCACACATCGTCTGTCTGTACAAAAGGAGAGCATCGATCCAACTAAAGTGACAGGCAGAAGTACAGCGCACAGCAAACTATATGTAACAATTCGCTCGACATCTTTTCCTTAAGCAAAAAGGTGTGGAAATAGACACATTTTTGTGTGTGGCTGAGACGTCGGATCGAGTGTGGTTGTGCACACACAATCAGATAGAATCCTCTCTGATAGTACCCGATCCTTTTGGCACGAGACAAACCTTGTCGAAAACGAAAGTACTACATGTAATCTAAAACATAATCATTCTGATAATGTTGGGACTGTCTGAGCGTGTCCTGGTTCCCGGCCTCTACTGTCTCTACCGCTAGATTTGGTCTACAGAGGCTGGAGCCCACGGGCAAAGTACGGGCACTTTGTTACTACACTGCTACTGCTGTTGCTGCTGCTGCTGTTGCTGCTGCTGCTGCTGCTGCTGCTGCTGCTGCTGCTGCTGCTGCTGCTGCTGCTGCTGCTGCTGCTGCTGCTACTACTACACTAATAATAGTACAGTGGAGTCCACTTATAACGAGTTCGAAAAAAACGAGAAGTCTGTTATAAAGACACTATTCTAAAACCCCGTTTTTTTCTCTTCTTTACCTTTGTAAATAAAACACTGCTATAGCGCAATCAGACAAACATGCGAGTCGGTTAAAGCGGAATATTGCTGCTGCTGTGCACAGTGCATAGGCCACGTATACATAATTAAAAGACCTCGCCAGTTGAGAAACTTGCTGTTGACCTAGGGAAACAAAAAATGGGAGAGCCAATGTGTGTCAACAATGAAGGCCGGAGCGACTGAGTAGGGAGGGTGTGGCATGCGCAGACAAGCAGAACGCATCGCTTGATAGGCCAGTGTAAGCCTAGTTTAGATTATCAAGGCCTACAATGCCTCTCATTTCTCCGATGTGGGGATGGAGAGATCACAGCAATGTGATGGATGGAGCGAATGAGTGACGTGCGCAAGCTGACGGAATGCACACAGGGTGTGGTGGGGTGGGGGTAAACACAGCGGGCGAGTTAGCCCAGAGCCCTTTCTTTCTGATCGCCAACGCCGAGCTGTCAGTCCACATTGCTAGATCTAGAGCTAGAGAAAGAAACCTGATTCGATTTTTGATCAAGTAAGACCTAAAGGTCATGTTGAAACCAAATCATCATCAGGGGAGATATTAAAAGGAAATAATCAGAACACCAAACTCATAGATTTGGCCTACTTTACAGTTTCCTTTGAATTTATTACTGGATCCCTTATAGCGAGAATTCTGCTATAACGGACATTTTGCTCCGGTCCCCTCCCTCTCGTTATAACAGGATTCCACTGTAATAATAATGATAATGATAATAATAATTTAAAAAAATAAATAAATAGCATTTGAATAGCGCATACATCGGCTCGACAGTAAGCTCTAGGCGTTTTACACTATAATATTATTACCCCAGCAGACACTATAACACTCAAAAACATTCTCGGCTTCCCAAGAAGCATACAATGCAAGCAGCCGATTAAGCCCTTAAGCACTAACAAACTGACAAGATCTTTCGCTGTCTATTACTGAAGTGAGGAAAAATCGTGTAAAGTGCATTTCCCAAGAACACAACGTCGGGCCCTTGACGGGATTCGAACCCATGACATTACGGTTGCAAGTCCGAGAGCCTAACCCCTAGGCCACCGGTGCAGTTTGTAGCATTGTTTCTGGTCTATTTATCACGCCAGGACATACATTTATACAGCCAAAAAAAAAGAAGAACCCCCCCCCCCCCCCCGCAAAGCCGGACCACAGGGCAACATACTACATGTATACCGGTAGGTTACATATATTTTTTAATCCCCCAAAAAAGTTTTAAAATGTATTCTAAACATTCCTAATTATTGTGTTAAAGCTTTGAACCATCCACTCATGTAGTATATAAATTTAGAGCTAAATATAAATCTTACTTTTTCTGATACATTTCTATGTAGGCCTACATGTAGATCTATGCAACCACGATCAGCATCATCCAAGATACGACAATCCCGATTTTGTTTATATGCCATGTTTTTGGCACAACCAGATTGTACACTATGACATAAACATGACTGATTAAACAGAGATCTGATATAACAGGACTTTTCCTCTGGTCCCACCATCCCTGCTATATTAGGTTTCCACTGTACGTTCAAACGATTGCTCAAGATATTGTTTGTTTAATTCTTTATAGCTCGCGGTGTGTTAGTAAGTGCTGATGTGTTTTGTTTTTACTGCTGTTCTTACGTGTATATAATTAGACCTAATGAATGGTCGTGAAAGTTCTTCTTTATATTATGGTTGAGCTGGTTTTCTTGTAACTGGTAGCACTCATCAGAGTTTATACTTAAATAGCTAGTTTAATGTCATCTTATAATAATAATAATAATAATAATAATAATAATAATCATCATCATCATCATCATCATCATCATCATCATCATCATCATCATCATCATCATCATCATAATAATAATAATAATAATAATAATAATAATAATAATAATAATAATGATTATAATAATAATAGTAATAATTAAGTAGGCTTTGGCCGCCACCCAGGCAAAATTCACTGTTAATTCCTACCAAACTGAAAATAGTTAATGTGTCCCGCTCGCTCATATTTATAATGATTCGACCCAATGCAGTTGCAAGCGCTGTGAAGTACTACTTACAATTAAATTATATTATTTTAAAGTGTACCATAAGTTTTGATTTTCGATGGGAGAGAAGCTGCCCTTGAATTTTCTACTGTTGAAACTAGCATACAAATTGGGTCTTCTTGCTTGGAGTCTTGGATGCGAAGAACTAATAAGACTACAGCAGCTGACTCTAAGAGATCAATTCTCAATATAGATCTATATAAAGACAAGAAAAGACAGTCTGAAGTCCACTATTTGAAAAAGCGCAGAGAAAAAGTATCATGTCGCACCATACTACAGCTACTTTAGCCAAAAATTTTATAAAGTAAGTTGATCTAGATCTAGATCTAGAATCTAGATTCAGGATCTAGATCTAGATCTTCTAGATCTAGATCTAGATCTAGATCTAGATCTAGTCTAGATCTAAATCTAGACTAGATATCTAGATCTAGATCTAGATCTACATATAGAATCTAGATCTAGATCTAGATCTAAATTGTCTAAATCTAGAATCTAGATCTAGATCTAGATCTAGATCTATCTCTAGATTCTAGATCTAAATCTAGATCTAGATTTAGAAGTCATCATAAGTATAAGTTGTGCTGGCGATGCCGTAAGAAGATCGTGGGTTCGAATTCTCTGCGTTGTATCTTTGGGAGAGGCTCTTGACATGATTTATCTTCATTTTACACAGGGACTGGATACCCAGCTATAGATGGTGAAAGATCTATCTCTTCAGTTTGGTAGTGTTTGTGCACGAAATTGACAGCTTGGACTGTATGCTTCCAATGATGAGAATGTTTATTTAGGGATGTGTGTTCTTGCGTCTCCTGTGTTAAATTATAAGTTGTAGACTGCACAGCGAGCATGCCGTAGGGCGTAGACATGCACTAGATACAGTCGAACCTGTGTAAGACGGCCACCCTTTGTCAAGGAGAAAGGTGGCCGTCTTAGGCAAGATTGATCAAGATGAAGAAAACAAACCATTCCTTTCTGAGGTCTTTCAAAGGTAGCTGCATTGTTGTTGTTGTTGTTTTCGCTCAGTTTTATTTTATTTTTAAAATTTTGTTGCTGCTTTTGTACAAGAGTGACAATAAAACGAAATGTGTCAGACAAGGAGGACCGAGTGCTATGGTAAAACAAACACATGGGTCGCCACCACTCGAAGAACGAGCGACGCTTCTGTCACTTAAGTTCATGTTGACGTCCATTGTTACTTTGTTACAGACTGGGTAAACAGTGACCACTTCTCTCACTTACAATTTGTGTATGAGTTCTGGGTGGGGCGTATGGGTTATGAGGGATCACACACTTCCCTCACCTGCAGCTGAAAATGTGTTTCCTGTTGGTCAACAGTGGGAGGGGCCTACACAACATGATAGGTTGAAAGGACTACCTAACAATAATGACAGGGGAATGGATTATGAATGACGGCTCGCCCTCAACGTCAAGGGACAATGCATGAATTATGACGTAATGGAGTCATTAAGGTGGCCATCTAAGACAGGTGATATTGTTTGGGGGTTGTGTGGTAAAATAAGGTGGCCGTGGCCGCATTGGACAGGTGCTCGTTTTACACAGTTAAATTATGTAGAAAAAACGCAAGGGGGGACATGGAAAGTGGCCGTTTGTACAGGTGGTCGTCTTATAGAGGTGGCCGCCATGACAGGTTTGACTGAATATCAATGAATGAATTAAATTATGCAATTATTATTACATGATGTATGGTATTTTGCACTTCTAATGTCTTCAGTTCATCTCAATCCATCTCCCTTTTGAATCTATCGGCATCAGCTGTAACAGTTGGACACTTTGTTGTCAGACGCAGAAGATTTCAGTTTGATTCCTATGTATGTGAGCAGAATTTTGATTGAGTATCTCGGTCTTTCTGCTTGGACGTTGTATCCCCCTCAGACTGGATTACAGACCCTAGTCTAGTTACCAACAGTAGAACATGGCTATAGCGGGACTTTTGGTTCCCAAAGAAAAATCCCACTGTAGGCGAGTTCCCGCAATAGGCTAGGAATGCAAGGGGAAATTACCGAAAAATTCCTATATCTACATATGATTACATCCCTTCCCAATTAAATTTGTGCTTTATACATGTATTAGTCTTCCTTTTATTGTCAACTTCGTTGATTATCTCGGTGTTTAATTTGAGTGAAAAGCATTTCCTTTAGTCTTTGTTGGAAGCCATCTTTTTCTTGGTTTGTTGCTTGTGCTGCCTATCGCACCTGTAGACCAACAGTAGAACTCGTGAAGCAGATGTGCACGTATGCCTGAACATCAACGAATGCATTTTAATGAATCAGGATTCACACGCTACCCGCTCTCCGCTTCTTTTACTTGTGACCTAGTCTAGGGCTATGACCTATACGATACGGTACTGAGCGTCTAGGTTATGGCACATCACTTAAAATTTTGAAGTTGCTCACATAACGTGTCTCTCTCTCTCTCCTTCTCTCTCTCTCTCTCTCTCTCTCCCTCCCTCTCTCTCTGCCGCCTGCCCCACCTCACTCATCACTGGACCAGCCAATCACAACGCCGCACTGCGGACTGCCTGTTTGGATCCCGCCTACAGCCCCCACCCGCCAACCCCCTTCCCCACCGCTAGAGCTCGCTCGATCTCTCCCGCTATATCCAAGTTCTGGCCTTTCCTTGCCCCGTTGAACCCGAGCACATGTAGTTGAGTTTGCATAGAGGGATTCCGGTAGGGTCCCGCTGCAGCGGTTGCCGCTACAGTGATATTGTACTGTATAGATCTACATCACTTTTGGAATTGTTCACGTAACGCTTCTGTCCGCACCATCTCTGTCTCTGCACCATCTCATTCTCTCTCTAGGTCTACCGCCTACCCCACCTCACTCATCGCTGGACTAACAGTCACAACGACTCACCACTGACAGCCTGTTTG